GAGTGGGACTTTCGGTGAGTGAGACTCGACTATAGGCACGACAGGCCTTAATGGACACGTCGTCCAAGTATTCAACTCTCGCCACAGGAATAGCCGACTGAAGGGTTTCGATGACTGAATCGATGGCCGACTTATCGTCCGGAAAACTGCAGACACCGGACGCCACACACTCTGGAACTGCACTCAACTTCAGACATATCTTCGTAATCGTACCCAAAGTGCCTTCACTTCCGATGAACATTGAGGTCAAGTCATAACCGGCCGAAGATTTACGGGACCGACACTTGTGTCCACTCGTATTCATGACCCGTCCGTCCGGTAAAACGACTTCCAAATTGAGTACATTTTGTTTCATCGTTCCGAAGGCCACGGCATTAGTTCCCGAAGCACTGGTAGCTGTCATTCCGCCTATGGATGCACTCGCACCGGGATCTATGGGGAAGTATAGACCGGTATCTCTGAGATACTGATTCAGTGATCGCCAGTCAATGCCCGCCTCAACAGTGCAGTCGAAGTCGTGTTCATTCACTTCAATAACTTTATTCATTTGCGTTAAGTCTATACAAACCCCGCCCTCAATGGCGTTCACTCCGCCCTCGAGTCCCGTTCCCGTGTAATGCCCGCCTCAACAGTGCAGTCGAAGTCGTGTTCATTCACTTCAATAACTTTATTCATTTGCGTTAAGTCTATACAAACCCCGCCCTTAATGGCATTCACTCCGCCCTCGAGTCCCGTTCCCGTGCCGTACGGTATGATTGGGACGTTGTGTTCATAACACAGTTTATGGACTCGACTCACGTGTTGGGTGTTTGTGGCAAACACTACGACATCCGGAGGTATAGTCTTCCGCCCTCGAGTCCCGTTCCCGTGCCGTACGGTATGATTGGGACGTTGTGTTCATAACACAGTCTATGGACTCGACTCACGTGTTGGGTGTTTGTGGCAAACACTACGACATCCGGAGGTATAGTCGCATAAAATCCTTCATCCTTTCCGTGTTGTTCCCGAACTGACTGAGCGATCGATACATTACTTTCACCACTCATTTGTTGAAGACTTTTCATAAAAGTTTCATTTTGTGCACAATTTGTGAGTTTTCTAAACCATAAAAAGTGTTTATAATTAACGTTTAGCAAACTATATTTACTGAATAACATATTTACTAAAATATTCAAAACAAATTATGTTTATAATAAAGTTGAGTTTCATTTTTTATACTTTCTTGTTATCAAAAGTTGAGTTAATTTTTGTTTACAACAATTCTGTAATTTCCAACTCAAATGTAATATAAATTGCATTTTTGCATTCATTTTTCTGTAATTATTAATTAACATAAGCATTAATTGTAAATAATAAGATTAGAAAATTTTTATTAATAAATTTAGTTTATATTCTGTTTACTCAATTTTATTTCCTTTTAAAATAGATAATCATAAATAGATTTTGTGCTCAAAATATAATATAATATTCAAAGACATCATCTGTTTTGTAGATTCATGTGATTGTAATACAAATGTTATACAAAAAAAGTTTACAAAATCGTGAGAAAATACAGGGAACTGTAGTATTATGGGAACGCCTACTCCTTGGCGATGCCGATGACAGCGCAGGCCACCCGTGCGCCGGCGTTACCGGTCTTCTTGCTCTCCTGTTCCCGCTCTCCCTGTCCTTTGCCCAAGTCGTCGACGAGTGCGTGAAAAACAACCGCCCGTCCGATGATAGAGTTGGGACCCGACAGCTTGATTTGGGTGTCGTTGTACTCGCGGACCACTTTGCCCTCACTATCGGCTATAATATTACCCAAATCGCCCACATGTCGCACCGTATCGTTAGGCGCGCCGTGCGTTTGGTTGTATGGGTTGAAGTGGGCGCCGGCACTCATGCAGCCGTCGCTGAGGTCGCCGTTCTGGTGGACGTGAAAGCCGTGATCCCCGGCCGGCACGAGACCCGTCACGTTGATGTTGACGACCACTCGGGTGCCATCAGCCGACTGCTCGAACCGCACCAAACCGTTCACTGTATTCGACTTTATTACGGCTATACCTTTCGGCACGTAATCATTGGTGGGACACAGGGTTGTGGCCGACATACCGATGATGCACGCCATGAGTGCCACACATTTCACCATAAAATGCATTTTGTTTTATGACTTTTTTGTGTGTCTACTTTCTGGTGAACTGAATTTGAAATAAAGTAATGATTTGGTATTTTTCAGATTAGTCCTCAATTTATATATTAAATGTAAATCTCATTAAATAAACAAAAAGTTAGTGATAAATACAAATGTCATTTGAATGTATGATATGGAGTGGTATGTGGAAGTGCTCTCAATTCCACATTTGTTATGACAAAATGTTGTCAATTAAAGATCAAATTCTTAGTTATCAAATCTAAGCATATAAATACAATTATCAAATAACTAATGTCAATATAATAAGATATTCACTTTATTTCTGTCAACACTTCACTCTATTTCAGGTAATCTTACTTTAAATATGAGTGATAAAAATCATTTGATCTAGGTACCTACCGGTAAATACTATTTACTAAATAGTAGCACAATTAAAGTAACATTTAGTGTAAACAAAAGATTAATGTTAATTTAAGTTCAAATGTACTAAAATACTTTGTCACATAAATATATTTTAAAAATTAATATTTAAAACCCATATTTAAAATTTAATTGGTAATTTTAATATGACATAATATGAAAACTATAAATGTATAAATCTATAATTAAAATTTAAAATCTATGACTTAATAAATTAATAAAATAAAATTATTTAATGATTAAAATTACTTACCGATTGTGAATATTTAAATTATATTTCTAAAATAAAAGTGGTTATAGACAGTGGTTTGTCTGTTTTGTTACAATAATGATTAAATTTGTAAAAATACTGTATTATTTCTATTAATACTAAATGAATCGTTATGGAAACAGACTTTCTAATAACATGAATAAATATAATTATTTTAATAACTTTGAAAATTCACTTTTATTTCATATGTTACGAACTCTAAGATACAGGTAGTCTAAGTACATTAATACAATAAATAACACATTTGTACACAACTTTTAAAAACCAATGTATAAATCAATAAATCCAGGAATACATTCAATGACATCTGAATACATTTGTCAAATAAAAGTCTGATAAATGAATTATTTTAAATTAATGTTTATTATAAATATATTTTTAAAAATTTCATACAATGTTTTAAAATGTTTAACTACTGATTTTTAGACACAACTGTATACTGTACAGAGTAATTACTTGTAAAAACTTATGAAAACATAATTTTCTTGATTTTATTCTCAATTTAGGACTAAATATTGATTTCTATTGTAATAAATACTGAAGTAGTGGTGAGTTCTTTGCTCCTAAAGATTACATATTTGGTAAACAAGTATTATTTGTATAATAGTGTACTTAGTCATAAATTTCATAATATTTAATAATAAACTAATTAAAAATGTGTTCAAATTCTATAATCACTGGTTACCAGGGATTGATTTATTGGTTGCATTACTGAATTCCCTATTTTAAAAACTTTCTATAATTTTTCTATTAATACACTATTTAAATCAGAAAATATAACAAGAAATTAAAATCAATTCATTGATTAAACCAATCATTAACAAAAAACATGCATAGATATAATTTGTTTACTTAGCTAAAATTTTAAATACAAGTTATTAGCGCATGTGTTAAGTACTGCTTAATATTTAAAAACTATTATGTAATGGTAAATAAATCTATTTATAGACAATACAGTATTAACTCCATAATAAATACTTTACACGACGAGGTCATCAAAAATAAGTAGTATTTTGTAATAATCTATTGTTTAATAAATGTGACCAATTAGTGGACACAAATTATCAAGCAACTACCTCTTTATATATAAAATTCTACACAATTTTTACTATAATCCTTGTGGTATACCCTGATAATTCTAACGTTATGTCACAATATTCAAAAGTTTATTTTGCCTTTTTGGATGACATACTCTCATACAACTGTTCATTAAGGAAATGTAGGCGTATTTGCGTGGATATAAGACAGACAACTTATTGAATAGTGCTAATTTATTCACTACTCGTTATTAAATAGTGTTAATGTTGGTTAGTTTCATGAAACATAATGTCATTCAATAATTTTATAAATAATTTACGTAATAATGAGTTAAAACACATTGAAATTGAGATAAACGTTGACTTCTGTCGGAGTAAATGCGGAATTTTGAGAGCTATTCAAATCGTTAGTCAATTATTAATGTATTATTCCTGATTAGTGAACAATATTTTAAATCTAAACAATTATTTAGGTCATAGGTGCGATATGTTTGCTAACAATATTCATAAGTTGTTATAACAATTACGATCCCTATTATCAACACAATTNTAACAATATTCATAAGTTGTTATAACAATTACGATCCCTATTATCAACACAATTCGGGTTTCATTGGCGGTAAGTGTGAGACAGCATTCTTGCTAATAGTCTGGTCATCACTGATGTGGTCCACAATACTTATGGTGTGTTATGTATTCTCAATGCAAATGTCAAATGTGATCCCAAAAACATATTTTGTGAGTAGATTTCTATTGTATTCCTAGTGCTGTGAAATTAATTTCTCATTTCGTAGGAAATTACCATAAACTCCATATCATTGGTATTGTATGCGATAATGTCATTAATCTTATTGATCGAAATATCCGTCAGAAATACTGATACTATTAATGGCATAAAAGAGCCGGGATTTGCAGGAAAAATAATCGCCTCGGTAGGTTTGCATACATGTGTTGTTTTATGTTTAATAATTTATTACACTTGACAACCAGGTTTTGTGAACTCGGCTGTTCAGGCAAAATAGTTCATAAAACTTGGTTAGTTCATAAAATCGGAAATTGACAAAGAACATTGTCAGAATATGCCTAAATGGGCAACATTGATTTATTGATAGATTATGATAATACATACAATAA